GTTTAAATTGAATAAGGCATGTGATATGTTTAGAAAAAAAACAGAACATTTTGAATTTGGCCTTATTTGCTTATAATATATAGGTGAAAGCAGGCTTGACGTAATTAGTAATATCGAATACGTAAGTCATTTATGATAACACCATGACATATCGTTTAAACCACAATATTCTTAGAGTGTAACCACAACAAGTCAAAATAATAATGATCTAGGTTAATGCCAATTGTCATCTAATTATAACTATCAAACTAATCAAGAATATCAGCATGTCTACTGCATGAGGACAACGTCATTTCTTATGATAAATACAACCTATCAAGTGACTGACGATTATAAAGTTTATCCTTTAATGCACCAAAAACAATATGTTTTGAAGTAGGGTTGGATGGTGGATAAAAGTAGAACCCAAGACACTCATATCATCCCATTCGGGACAAGTTAATTGAATGAACTAAACATCTTAATGTTGATGTCCAAATTTGAAATCAAAATTCCTCTTATTTCAAACCTCAATAGGTTTGAGAGTGTGCTTAAACATGAATTTCAGTGTATTATGGTAGTTTAGATCATTTTCAATGTTTATGCCTGACTGTAATCTCTATAAATTAATTATTATACCTTGAAAAATGTGGAATTTTTCAATATTTGTAGTGCAGACAGATGATAAACTAGAAATTTTAAAGAAAGTGAATTTTCAGTAACTTAATTTATATGCATTCATCACGCTCAACGTTAATGTTGTAGCCGTTGAGCTTGATTACGATTAAGTGGACCAATTTTTAATTTCATTAGTGTAAACAATGTATGGCATAAATTTTTTATTAGATAACTAGTACAAACACCCATTATTACCACAGTTTTATAATTGAATTATACATTTCACCCCATTTATAACGAAATTCATGGTACTACGTTTTTTTATAAGACTTATTCTAAGTACAGAATTGAGTGACAAACTAAATTCAAGTGATTTTTGGCTGTAAAACATTTTTAAATATAGCTTGGATCAAATACATTTTCGTTAAACGGTTATAAAATATAAAACAATTAGCCCCTTTGATAAATTTCGATAATGTAATAAGAAGCCGAAGATTATCAGAACTGGTTACAAAATAACCAGATTATTGTATTTTTATATTTTCCTTCCTCAAATCATGGTTAATTAATCATTTGCTTTTTACTCCATTCCATAACACTTACACCTTGGTTGTGCATTACTTATAATCACCTAATAATCATGAATTGTGTTCTGATGATTATTGTGTACAAGCCTATGAGTGTTTTAATCATGATGATTGACAATAATAGGTTTTATTTTTCGGTTCTGTTTCGACTACTGAATGGCTACTATGGCCTGAAGGGTGCTGCTTTCTGAACCGATATTAGTGAGATTATTCGTCTTTGTTGTTTAAGAATAATTATTGTCAATATAATCATTTTACTAATTAAACTGAATGTCATTTGTCTAATAGGCCCAAGGTGTGCACATCATTAATGGCCCATATAAACAAACAGCCTGATAACGTGGGCCACAAGAGTGACAATATTTCATAATACATAAAGATGCACATATTGATCTATGTATGTACAGTTACCAAGCAGGGAATATTTGATTTTTCTACGTTATACTTCTAATTAAACACAATACTATAAATAGTTATTTACGATTATTATTTACTTAATTATTTTTCATTTTATGTGTACAAATTAATCAACAAAAACCATTTGATTTTAAAAGGTAAATCATAAAATTTCTACATGTTTACAGAAATGAGTAATAATAATAATAAGAAGAAGAAGAAGAAAATTGACCTGATTAACAAGAAGTCACACGTAACTAATTATTTGTGTACCCAGAAGGTTCTTGTTCACATCCACAAATTGACCTGTGAATGTTCTCGAGTTTCATAATAGAAATTAATTCTTCCATTCTTTATTTATTGTAATTGACCTCATAATATATATATCATTATTACTTTCTTAATCAATAGAAAAATGTAATATTTTCTTGTTCCAGTTATAATAAATAAATGAAACTTAAATATCATAGTGTACTTCGCGAGCTGACCTTATTTAGATAATCACTGAACAATTGTTTCACCTTAAAATAGGATTACTTATTAATTCACATTCACGACACCTGTAAAAAAATCCAGAGTTTTCAAGTCTCACAACGTATGCTAAAACTATTGAGCTGGCGCAGAGTGGTTTACATGTCTAACCCTAATTAATTCATGATCTTACGAATGCTGATATTCGTCTTACTCCTCAAACGGCCATGGCCTTCACTAGAGTTATATCAAGAAGTTAGTCATTGGTAAGCATACTGAGGTTATGATCATAGAATACTGTGGAAGGTGCTAAACTTCCATAGTTTATATCGCGAACCGATGTGAAACTAGAATAAACAATAAAATTCCTCCTGATGAAATCAGTTTTTTTTCTTTTCTTATAATTTTGATATTGTCTGACAGCTGATATGTTTTCCTGTATATTCAACCCGATCAACTTAAGTACAACTGAAATCAAAGATTAATAGTTTTACATACAACTAGTATTAAACATTGAATTACATTAAAATTGACTACCAGTTTAGTATGTTGTTTAACACAGATTGTTAATGATGTAAAGTTAGTTTGTTAGTATGAACGCGTTTCGTTTTAATTTATTCCATTTATATTCCACCTAGTTCTATATCATATTCTATAAACTTCATTAGTACATGAGTGACAGAAATAACAACACTAGTGTTAAAAGTTAATTGTAATCGAGAAATTAATACAATTTTAGAGAAAAGTGACTAAAGCTATACAGTCGTATTTATGGTTCATTAATGTACATAAGTATATAATATGATAAATTTACAAATCTAAACAGTTTTACAATATAAAACAGTTATAAATATGGTGTACAATAAAGTTAGTAACATCGTATTAAATGATTACTGAATTAGACTACAACGTTACTAAATATTTCATTATAAGGAGGTGAAATAAAATTACACCAGTTATTCATATTCTACTTTTCATATTTAAATTCATCATTACTGACTAACAGATGGTCATTCTATTCGTAAAGTTCAAACCTAGGTTTCTAACTACCGAAATTCGATGTATATCTTATCCTATTAACTATTACCTTTACGCCTTAATAATCGGCAGAAAAATTCGGACATAAGGCCTCCTCTCAGTGCTGCTGGATAGTACAGTCAACCTTGCTAGCCAACCTAATCGGTCAATGGACCTGTGGGACCGTGATTCTCCACAAAATCACATTCACGCTGTGGATTTGTGAGCCTTGAAAACAAGGAATCCATTACAGAAGGACCTGCATAGTCCTCCTCAGAAAAGACTTAACCAACTAATCTGGCTGGAACACCGCCACATTATTACACATATGTAAAAAAAATTTAACAAGTATGATTGTTTATTTTCTGTATATAGAATTTTGTAAAATCATTCAATTCATTATACGAAAACGTTTGTGTGCAATACGCATTATAGATTACAATAAAAAATATATATGAACTCGTTACGTAACTTTTGGTTCATTTGTCTGCTCAATATTATATTAAATCGACGACTAAAGAGAATACAATCCATCAAACATTCATGTATAGTAAAAGATATATGTTTACACATTTACAATGCACATTTGAAGACCTATTGGGTATTATTCATTGTTCGACTGTCCAGATCGCATTTATGATCAGATAAATCAAGTAGTAAGTTGGCGGATAATTTTTAATCCCATATCGTGATCAGTACTTACAAATAAATTACTGGAATATTCAAGCATTGGTTCACTTTTCCAATGTAATTGAATAGAACTAATAAAATCTTTTTACAAATTCTACCATTTCTTCTCAATTTCTATTTGCTCATACGATAATGACATGAATAAGCTACCTATCATACAAAATTTAGATAACTTAACAAGGTACCACTAAATTTCGTTATTCAAAATCAGCTGATATTTTCATATATGTAGGCATCTTTCAACAACTGTCTACATAGCATTTGAATGATTAAGTTTATTTTTCCTAATTGTGACTCACTTATATTATTTCATAAGTATCATTCCATCTAATTTTGATATCTCACCACTGAATTCGCGGGTTTTGCCGATAGAATTGCACATAACCAAGAATTTGTAGCTGTTCATTTCTATCAATCTGTACTAAGGCTGTTTGTTTTATTAATTACTGTTTAATAGAATACAAGTTATTGCTGGATATAATTCAATTTAGAATGGCTTACATTACCCTTTTGTTGATATTTTTGACTGGAATTTGATCAATCTTGGTTAGCATATGAGAATCCTAAGCGAACTATCTCGATATATGCGACGAATCCCAAATATAACGAATCTCACATCTTGCACAAGTGAGTAGCTATCTCTATTAATTAGCTAAGTCGATAACGCAACGGCGTTTAAAATGAACGATATTAGGTGCCGACCCCAGAGTGAAAGTTAACCCTACGACCCAGGTACATCCACCCGATGAGTCCGAAATTGGACGAAGATTTCATCGTAGATTCCAATGCTAACCATATTCCATCTATTCTAGCTCAACATTTATCTATTCGTCTAGTGAAATTCAAAACAACCTCTGCTTAGATTAGTTCACCTTTCATTATATAGGTCCTGCTTTGGCAATCTGATAACAGGGCGAAATTTTTTATGTATGAATGTATAGAAGTCTGTTCAAATAAACATGATTTAGTGAAAAAAGTCGTTATGTGAAGGTGGTTCCGAAGCTTGAAAACAGAAGAATATGACGATGAAGAGTACCGATTCGTAAGCGTAATAAGAATAAAATATTATCTAAATGCTAATAAATTCAACTGACGAGTTTCTTAGGTGGGGAAGCAATGTATATCGTCATATAGTCTATAATATCTACAATTAAAAATAATGACATATTGAAGTGGATGATTTTGAAAAAGGGAAACAGTATCATATACTTTATTGATATCGTAAAAATGTTAAGTACTCACCTATTTGATACTTGAGCAGCGGTCAACCTGATAAATGCATTCCGTATTCGTTGCATACTAACAAGCACTTGAGCGAATGGTGTCACAATCACACCTTCAACGGATGAATCTGGTAAGACTCCAGTTATTCCATTTGTACTTGGTGAACTGGTACTAGTTGCAACAGTTGCCCCACCTGTACTAGATCGACCCAATCTAACAATCATCGATCCTCTACGTATAGGAATTTTTTTATTCATTAATTGTGATTCAAATGAATTATTTGTGATCGAATATAAACCATTTGATGTTGATGTATTTGGATCAGTTGATGTACGTGGTAAAAAAAATGTAGGAGAATTATGATGATTACAGTGAGAATAAGCATGATTATTCGTTGTGAAATGTATATTGGAAACAGATCGCCTAAACAACTGGTTAAATGGCCTAGTGCCTTCCTCATCTTTTTCAATTCTGTGTACAAAAGATTCTAATTGTTTACCTGGACGCATTATTACAGATGAACTAGTTATAGTAGACAACATGAGGGGGGTCAGACTATTATCTTTTGATCCATGAGTATCGCCATTATTTCTGTCGTTGGCATCAGCAGTAATGGCAGAAGTAGTAGTGATATTTACAGTGTTTTTATTCATTGGATTAATCTGTGATGAATGCTGACCATATTTACCGTTAGATCCAGGTTGATATAAAGTTATTTTACTTAAATCTGAAGTTGTTATGCTATTAATGGAAGTAGGAGTAGATATAGTAGCCACACCGGTTGTTGTTGTTGTAGTGTGAGTAGTAGTTACTGTTGTCATCATGCTTCTACGATCACTACCGTCTACCATATTCTGAGTCTCCACTTGATAATCTCTACTGGTGGTCATAGAAGTGGTCAAATGATCACATTTTGAATTTACATTATAATTATTTTCTGTATGTTTTGTATTTGAAGAATTCACTAATAATAAAGACCGACTATGTTCTGAATTTGTTGAAGGATGCTTAATTGTTTTCGGTTTCGATGTATTCTTCTGATTTAATTTCGGTTGAGAATGATGATGATGATGATGATGATCACTACATTTTATACAGCTTATAGTACAACATTTCTTCCACATGACGCCTTATATTGTCATAATTATTTAATGAAATTGTAAACCATTTACTGACATAAATTGATGATACATTGCGATAAACATGAACAATGTATTAATCATTTGTTTTTATAAGTCATCATAAAAAAGGTATGTAAACATTAGGTCTAATAACGTTCAATGAATAAATCAACAACTATGAAAATACTTCCATGAACATTACATTTCAATATGTGTAATGTTTGTTAATGATAACAATAATAGTGTTATTTTAATTAGTTTTACAGAAATGAGGCAAGTTAGAAACGAAATATTATACTGAATAATAAGTAGTATGTAACAAATATTTATAAACAATTACGCATAGGAATACATATATATATATATATATATATATATATATATATATATATATATCTACGGGTGGGTTTTCATGTTTCTATGTCATACTATGTATGTCTGTGTTGATCCGTATATATTCTTCATTCGTTTGTTTATTAAAAGTTCACAAGATATATATATATATCAGTCATTGTCGAGAAGTGGATTGATTATACAATATATAGTGTAACATTGATGAAATTTACAAATATGGAATAAAATAAGCATAATATTTGAATATTGTTCAAGTTCATTATCTAAGGACAGGTATAATGAATGTTGTAAAATCAATGGTTCATTTATTTCAGTTGATTGTCTATCTGACGATCAGTATTCCTTTTAAACAATAATGATATTAATAATAATTATGATTAGTTCTATCTTGGTAAGTGGGGACCGAGGCAATTATTCATATAAGACACAAGATAAGGAGATGGATTATATAACGAATTGTATTCTGTATTTAAAAGTTTAAGTTATTGGTTATTGATTCATTGGTTTTAAAATATATTCTCCTTAATCAAACTAATTATCCATTGTATAACAATGTGTTTATAGTGCCAAGAAATGAAATAAAATTCATGTGTCTTCCAATTTTTAATTTAGTTCATCAGTTATAATAAAACTGTTTATTATTATTTGTTCGAATTTTTACGTATGGTGTGATCATGGTATCATACTAAAATTCTTATTTATATCATTACTATACTATTAACATTATTAACTGCAATACTGACATATCTGGTCCACCTGTTCCTGCTATCTAAGTATTTCAACCAGTCATCCGTCTTTGTTTGTTTCAACGCATCATTATGTTCATTTGTTGCAAAACCCATTCAAATGTGTTTATGAAACGTTTACAACCTTTCGCTGTACAAATTACAAAATAGTACTATCAGAAACATCGTAGCGGCTGGCAATATAAATTGAAAAGAATAAACCTTATTCGGATATCGATTCCTCAAACTGCTAACTTATAACTTGGAATCACTCACTATTTGTCTTCAGGATCGATCAAGAAATAAGAAAAGGAAACTTGTTGAGATACTCTGTGCTGAGAATTCTATATTGTACCAAAAATTTAATATTGAATAAAGCCATTAATAATAATATATGAACTTAAGGTATCTTTGCATACGTAGCTTTAAGTTGTAGGTCATTTTGTCAACGATAAATTGAGTTCATCATATCCTAATAAACTATGAAATATTTATCAAGTCAAATCAATAATGACTGTTGAATTAAAATATGTAATCTTCGTTTCCTTATTCTCTATATCTTAACTGTCAAAAGCTGAAAGATTGCTGGAAAGCTCTTTTATTCCAGTTTTCAACTCCTTCACATTTCAAATTGTGACTCATTAGCCGAACAGAATAGTGTTACGTTGAGAGATTAAGATGTCTATCAGCTAGAAAAAATTGTAAGCTCGGACAAAACACGTTTTAATTTTTCGGTTGTTTTCAGTTGATATAAGTATGTTGTCAACACCTACTTTGAAACAGAGTAGATAAGACACAAAGTAAGCAATAATTATATGTACTGTTAATGCCTACATCTATATGCATAATGTACTAAAATAGTGATATAAATACATTTTAGTAGCCACGTAACCAGATTATAGAATCAGGTTATGGAGAAATGTACAATGATGCGCCATCAGATGGTTCATGTTATACTTGTGATTAAAAATTATAAGCGATATACCACAAAATTAACTTCTATCGTAAAGATTTATTGATTCTATATTATCCCGTAAATTTTGACGTTGATGACTATTTCGTACGGTTTGTCTCTCGAATTGACTGACTATTTCTTAAGTATATTTCCTATTTTTGATTGTTCACTATCTTGAATGATACTATTTGCTTAACTCTTCTGATTTTCATATAGTTTAAACGTTTTGCTATTGTGATATGAAGTGAGATTAACTAGAATGATATGTATGTGTTCTTGGAGTGATCTTTTAACTTATAGTGTCACTGGATACTTTTTTACCTATTCACCTTTTTTACTAATTTTGTTTATTTCTTGCTTTGTGTTTATTGAACCGTTATTTGTGAGTGTACTGTACAGATATATTTTTAATTTTCACGTTTCAACAGCTTGATTGATACAGTATTTTTCTACATTAAACTTATCACTTAACTATTGGATAAATAGTCTATAGAACTCAAACAAACACTGATTTTAGTGGACACTTGCTGGCAATAAATCCAATAGTAATGATTAAACATTTATATCAAGTCAGATATATATGCGTATAAGGACGACAATCTAACTCCCTTGATAATTTACATATTTTCGCCAATCAAAAGAATGTAAATAGTTATAACAATGAATGATTGTTATGCTTGATTATCTTTTTTTATTTATAGATAGTACACACTAACCAACTAAATTATGCATAATTTATGCAGTTTTGTTTGTCATATTTACTGTGGACTTTTATTTTACTTTTTCTAAGGTATTTTTTTCTGGATTCTTCCAATAAAGCCTTTTTTTAGTCTTGAATAGTCACTATAAATTAATAAGACAGACATTTTGCATAAAGCATATAATTATGATAATTCACTATTTTGTAAGTTAAATAGATTTGTATTTTACCTAGCCAAATATCAATAGAATATACTGTCGGTTTATTATTGGGTCCTTTACTGCTGATACATAGAAATTAACAGTGAACAAATCAAGATATGATTATGATTATATGAATATTATATAAGTTTACAAAATTATTTCAATTTGGAATGTATTATGTTTGAACATGTTTCACTGGTCAGTAAATCCACTGTTTAACAGCTGACTAGTGTGCACAGTCCCATTCAAATATACAATACAAGACTCTATATCTGTAAGATAAATTAGTATAATTGAGTTGGTACACTGTAAACTATTGTTTTGAAATACATGATTTCAGTTTGTTTCTCAAAAAGTTACAACGGCTAAACGACATGTGTTCATCATAGAATGAGACTTGTTTAGGAAGATAGGTAGATGACAATAATCACAAAACTAGGAAAGGTTATCGGATTCGTCTATACTCTAAAACAATTCATTCTCTATCAAACTACCTCTTTTCGTCAGAAAAATTGTAAACAACTGCAGAGCAAAAATTTTAAAACACATTGATATGTTTTGACATGCTCTGCGTAATGTGTCCGTTTAAAATGACAATAACGATAAAAAACTTTCATAACAATAATTTACTTTTACTATCCTTTAAAAAATCTAATATGTCAATTCATTTTATTGCCTACCTTGATCATTGTAAATGGAGAGACGATGCGAATAATGTGTTGCTCTTTAGAATGATTTTCATTGAAAAGAAAAAAATCTATCTATTACTATTTTCGAAGTGACTAATACTTTTAATCTAATCATATGCTTCATTAATTCTATATGATGCAAAATAATTACCATGGTAAACTGCTAAAGTATTTAAAAGAAAAATGTTTTATAGCCTCAAACTATTGATTAGCTTTCTTGACTATTAGTTAAATCAAATGAATATGAGGTGTTTTCATCGACACTCTAACTTACGCATTATCTGTTGATAAAGTTGATGCGCCATGTTGTTCCGCTGCAAGTGCTGAAACAAATATGGATCCACGCCGTGGTTTAACAACTGCTGGAATTTGTGGGGACGACTGAGGTTCTTGACTCGAAGATATTGCATCGTTTGATGGAATCCCTTTTCTAAGACATACCAAAAAAATGAAAGAAATTCAGTTATGACAAGTAAATATGATCATACAAATATTTAATAGAAAGTGCAATCTAATCGTAATAATCTTTCATTACAATAAAGCTTATTCAAAACATTTAACTTATCTTGTTATTTTAACACTTGGATTCATGTGTCAATCTAAGCTAGACCATCGTTTGAAACATGGAACCACTGCACGGTCGCTTCATTCTAGTATAAGACTCCTTAGCAGTGCGCATCCATGATACTCCACGCAAGACTCAAACTCAGTACCTTAGGCACCGCGCGTGAACACTTAAACTCTAGACCACTAAGCCGGCATCGAATGGTATTAATGTCTAACTTCCATTGATCCATGATCTTTCACAACCCTTCATCCATTGTCTGACGTGGATAACTATCTCATACCCTACACGGATTAAATTCCAATGATCACAGCTTCTTACTAGAACTTCGGGAAATCCACCATGAAGCTAGCCACTAGTAAGTACATAATTATCATCACTATGTGGATTTGTAGGGGGTTGCAGTTTTTTAACAATTATCGTTTGTGACTTTATCAGCTTTTATCATTTCAGACTAATTTATTAATCCTATCAGATAAAGTCTGAGATATGTGATAAAACTTTCCCATTTAAGCTAAACATTTTTTTTCAGAAATAACTTTTGCTTTTCTGAATCGTCATTTATTCATTTTTCTATTAACTATGAAAGAAAGTATCTTTCACAAATTCATTTTGTTCAGTAAATTAATTTGTGAATTAATTAACTCTTGTTCGATTTGTTTGTTGGTGATCTCTCCATTTGTTTTAAATGTGTGAATACAGATTTTATGTTGTTTTTTTTTGTTGTTGTTGAAAATAATCAACGTCTGATCAACAAATTGAGCATTTCATGTATATTCCCTTTGTTCAATTAATGGAGAATGTAATGGTTATTATTGTCTGATTTAAATGCTATCAGAAAAATCAATAAGAAGAATGGAAAATTGTAATTATTCCTTCCTAATACAAGGGTTTTCAATTCATCTCATTATTTGAATTAAGGTTGGTAATCTAAATATTGGTACTTTAAATTACAATTGAATATACATGAAATAACAATTTTATTTTAAAAGTCTATGGTACATCAGATTTATCCTCTTCAACATAATTCTTGTTTATGGCAAATATATGCTGCATCTTCAATTAGATTATTTTAATATCCTTAAAAGTATAAAACTTCTTTAAAGAAGTTTTATAACAGGATGAAACGGCCATACAGTGCTTCCAGATTTTCAATGGTGATCTAGCTTAGGTTAACTCGTGAAGTTAACTGTTAAAATACTACAGTCTCCACAAATCTCCATAGTAACTTAGTATATTTTGAGAACTTTTTTCCCAAGTTCAATTCATTGGTACTCAATTATTAGATGATCGTTGTCCGGCTAACAATGATACAAAACCTAAAACAATCTTGACAAACTAACATGTTATAAACATAGTTCTATGATTAGTACTAACTTATTATATTTTAATATTTCTATAAAACAATTGGCTTATAAGTAATAGGTAATGAATTACATAATCTTAAATGAGCTTTCACTTAAACACTATGTTGTTGCTACACATAAAAACGATTTAAATGATACTTCATAACATTTAAATCAATATTTCATATCCCAATTGATTAGGAGTATCATTTAATTTCGAATAAGCACAATGTTTCTTTGCCTTCATGTTATCTTTTTTTTCTTAAAACGGGTGATTAGTAAGCAGCCAAACTCCAGTCTTCTGAAGTTTGCTGAAGCCATTGCCATCAGACGTCAAAAACCTGACCTATGTATTCAAAACGAGACGGTGGTTAATCTTTCCTCGCCCTGGTGACAAATATTCTTTCACTGCACCATAAAATTTTATTTTTTTCTTTTTTCTTTTGCATTTATTACATCATTGACTCTAATTTATTTTTTAAACTATCTTTCACATTAATAATCTTTCAACTGAACTCTACTCACTACATTCCTTCAATGTTATTCATTATGTAATCGATTGTTTCTAACCCACTTTTGAACTGTTGTCACAATTAATGTTGCAGAATATTCTTTCACATTAGGTATATATTTACAATATTCAGTTAGCAATTTAAACCCATTATGTAATTATGATTTTTAAATATCACAGGTTGTAAGCAGCTGATTAGAACCTACGAAATACAAATGAATTCATGCTATTCTGCTAGAATCTTTGTTCTTGCTCTTTTCAAAATGATAAAGGAAACTATGTGTATGAAACTTTAAAAAATGATTAAGTTTTACTGTAAAATCTAATTTTCTTTAGTTCCTGTTTCTTACAGTGGAAATTTAAAGAAGAAAAACGTTAATTTTTTTTTTATTATTAAAAAAAAAATTTTTTTTTTTAAATTAAATTTCATTTACATTTGATGAACTGGTGTTAGTTTGTATAATTTTATACGTTTAACTTTTTCGGTTAACATTTAAATATCCAAAAATGATTTATAATGCATTTAGAGAAAAAATTTTTAATGGGAAAGCTTGCATTAAAATGATCTATATAAATGAATAAATAAAGAAGAAAACGGTAATAATAAAAAACATGGAATGATATAAAATAAATAAGAGTTGAGAATTCAGTTAACAAATATCACTTGGTAACTGTGTAATATAACGATTGGTAATTGTATGATATATATTTTAATCTTACATACAATCTATCCATATATATATATATATATATATATATTAAACCATTGTAATGAAGAATTTAGATATTGACAACATCTACGGACTAATTATTACGCTGAAAAATTATGAGGGTTGCATTAATATTGAAATGACCAATAATAACACACTTATGAAAGTAAACAGTATCTTTTCTTTAGTAAATAATACATTTGAATAATTTGGAACAACGATTTTATCAAGAATAATTCAGCTTAGCAGTCACATCGGTTCTTTTTTAGTACAGCTATTCACCTAAAATCAATGTTTCTTGGTATTGCACCATCTTTCTTACCGTTATCACCATAATTATGTATGAATTTTTACGGAAACCTTCCAATTTGATCATCTGAATAAAATATATGTACAAAGTTGAACAGAAGCTAATGAAGTTCAGGTATTATCCCTTCGATATATGTTTTTTTTTTAAAATATCTTGTCAATCAGTCGTTGTGTTTCGCTTAATACCGTGATTTAGAAAATAAAAACGTGTGGTCATGATCTTGAAGCTGTGAAAATTTCTACACCTATAATTGCCGTCTTAGGTGATTAGTTATTTGAAAAAATGATTTTGTAATAGAAGGAATACTAAGAAACGTATCAGGCAACTAAGCGGGTCATACCATACTAGATGAATTGTTCCCGTTACGATTAAAGCTCATAGTCATTAAAATTTGCAACTGTTAAAACTAGAACATTTCTCTACACAAAATATACCAGCGTAAAATATCTAAAATTCAATCGCATCCAAGTATTGCATTTAATCAGGACACAAATAACATAATGTTTTTTTTGAAAATAGGTATTCTTAACCTACGTCTTGTAATGAAATGAATGGATGGTATAATTAAAAACTTTAAAACTGCAATAAATTTTATTTATTTATCCTCAGTATGATTGGTTACTGTCGAAACGACCAAACGTTGATGCCTCGGAATATAACTGCAAATGTTTTCATCATTGAATTTAGTCAATGACCCCAAATGTTTGATTTATTAATATATATATATATATATATATATATATATATATATATATATATATATATATATATATATATATATATAAGCCCGTAGCTTAGTTTTCCGACAATAAACCATATTCCTGTTAAATAATTCAATCAGCAAACGTCTATAATTATCAATCGACCATTACTTCGACTAACTTCAAATCATTAGGAATGATTAACATTTGTTTCATAACTCTCTTTACAAAATTAGTATACATTTCAATATATTTTAACAAATCAGATTTTTACTTGAAATCTCTTATTCGTTTTATACTAATTGTAGGTCATGCGAAACAGCTCAATAAAAATTATGTTGGGGTTTTTCTCAAAGCAGCTACAACATCAACTAAACAAGTTTAATATTTGTTAACAGGATATTTCTGTTTAAAACATCAGCCAGTGTTGATTTCCTCACAATAAATATTACTTTGACAATGTATGTAATTTATTATTGGTTTGGATTCCTAATAAATCATGTAGGAAGAATAGCATTAAGACTTCATTAACACAAAATTATTTATCAATATAGGGTTGTGAAGATTGTTGAGTTTCATTGAAATCATAAGTAGACCAATGTTGGATCATCAATGAAAACCTGGAGGCCTTGTACGACCGTTTTCTCCTCATTTCGGGCCTCCAGATGTGTCCGTCTGCGACAACACTCTAAAATCAAACTATCCAAGAGACTCAGCGTTTTTACCAAAAACCAAAGGCCCTGGGTCCGATACTCGCGAGCGGAGCGGTCAATGTGTACCACTGAAGAGTCCCATACTAGGACAAAACGTCCTTTCAATGTTGTCAAACACTGAGTGCTTTATGATTTAAATGAGGCCATTTTTACATTTTAATTAGTTATACACTCCTTAGGTTAGGGAATCTAGAAATGAAGTTATCTGAAGGTACACCGAAGCATTTGTAGCTGTTAAAGACAATGTATTCTTATAAAATATCTATACTGTCGTTGAGTTAACCAGTAGATATGCTTGGCCTTAATGATATAAAGAAGGTGATATATCAGCTTTAACTTTATTTCTCACCAGTTTAGTCATTAATAAGATGCTACAACTCTTTTATAAACTCCCTTTATCAATAATATAATGTATTATTTTGTACAATATTGTATTAGCGATAAAGAAAAGAAGTAAGATAGTTAATCTAGTACTCGAGAGTTAATATCATATTTGTTCCATTAAAAATTAGGCGAAATATACTAGTGTCAAGTATACTCATTAGAAGTCAGGATGAATGTTAATTATTAGGTT